GTCCGGCGCGGAGAACAATTAACGAGATAATGAGAAACTGACGAAACGAGTTGCTTACTTTTAACAGCTTTTTCACAGAAAACTAGTTTTCGCACGTAAGCTCCCTTTTCGTAGACCAGGTCACATATGCTGCCAAGAAGCCACTGAAGTCGACAAATTTTATACTAAGAATTTTAATAAGAGCATAGCCAAGCGTAAGCTCTTCACAAAAAAAAATTTCAAAAATATATTCTTTAGAATTCTTGGAATAAAATTAAACACAGGGTGTGCCTGCGGTGTTCCAGAAAAACATTTTTTTTAACATTTCAAAAAAATTCGAAATTTTAATGGAATAAATAAAAAATATATGTAAAAAAAGGTTATTTTTTATTATTATTTGTTTTAAATAGTACGGGCTTTTAGCTGTCAAAAGAAGAAATAAAAACCTTGCACTTTCAGAAGTATTTCGTTTTCGGCTAATGCATAAAATAATTTTTTAATTTTTTATGAGTGCCTTCAGATCTGCACGATTGGTTCCATTTTCAAAAATGAAGTGTCAGATTAAAAAGCTTGACCTGTGGACAAAAGACGCTTTATTTTTTTTAAGAGTTGCCACCTGTTAAAAAATTAGATTAAAATTTTTTATAAGTTAAATGAATTATTAAGAAATGGGTATGAATCGAAATTTGTATTAACTACATGTAGAGAGTTGCCACCTGTTTAAAAAAGTAAATTCCTTTTGAATTAAAAGAATTAGGTAATTGAAAGAGATAGGTATCACCAAAAGGAAGTCAGACGAAAGAGGTTTAAGAAGGATTNGGTATGAATCGAAATTTGTATTAACTACATGTAGAGAGTTGCCACCTGTTTAAAAAAGTAAATTCCTTTTGAATTAAAAGAATTAGGTAATTGAAATAGATAGGTATCACCAAAAGGAAGTCAGACGAAAGAGGTTTAAGAAGGATTTGGCTTAAAAAGATTACGTATAGGGTTGCCACCTGTTTGTAAAGTCGAATTTAGTTAAACTAAAATAATAATCGCGTCAAACCATAGGATTACGCCATCGTATTTGTTATTTTATTACAAATACATGCATTGTCAATCAGAGATTTGTTCTGATTACATTCCTTTTAAATTAATCTCTCTCTTAAATTAACTCAGGAAAGTTTTTAATCTTTACTTATTCTTGCTAAATATGTAAAATTTTTTCATTTGTCTGATACTCATATTGATATGCATATTTCAGTTACCTTATTCCCTTAATTAAAGTGAATTTGATTTTTCAAACATGTGGCAACCCTTCTACTTGTCGTTTAGAAGTAAAGTACTTTCAAAACTAGTTCAATTGATACCCATATTGTAATATCTAATTCATTTANGCATATTTCAGTTACCTTATTCCCTTAATTAAAGTGAATTTGATTTTTCAAACATGTGGCAACCCTTCTACTTGTCGTTTAGAAGTAAAGTACTTTCAAAACTAGTTCAATTGATACCCATATTGTAATATCTAATTCATTTAACTTATTAAAGAATTTTAATAAAATTTGTAACAGGTGGCAACCCTTTTCAAAAATAAATAACTTTATTGCACATCTAGAGGCCAAGCCCTGCCATTTGACACCTCACTTTTGAAAATAGAACGATCTATATGTACATACCTATGTAAAAGCCACAAGAACCCAAATTTTCCACTTCAAACTGCATTTACAGTGAAAGTATGAAAGTAATCCCAAAATTGCATTTTTGAATTCAGCGTCCTCAGTTTTATTAAGAAGCGAATTTTCATTTAAATCCGTTTATAATTCTATTTTAGCCTACATTTTATATGGAAGGGAAGCACTGTGCGCAGGTTTGATTTACGGTCCTTTAAAAAGTTTTTATTATTTACAATGTTCCAATTTTTAAATTCAAGTACTAAAAGAACATTATTAAAAATTACTAACCTTTCCATTTTTTATTTACCGAAATCACCTAAATTATTTCTTTATAATTCTTTCTCTAAAAATTGATGAACCATCTACATATTTGCAATAATATATAATTGAGTGATTTTTTGAGCTTTGTTAACATACCATAATGTTTGTATATATGTTATAAGTTTTATGTATCCGTGTTATCTCTGTTTAATTGAAAGTGTCATATGCGTTTGTATATTTTTTAGAATTTCAATTTTCAATATATAAATAAATAAGTATTATCTTTCGTTTTATCATTGTTGTACTATAAAAGATTGAATGAAATGAAAATACTCGACATTCGCATTTGCTTTTAAACATCCGCATCCGCATTCGTATCCGCGGGTGTCTAAAATTCCACATTCGCCGCATCCCTAGTTCGAACCACTTCGAAAAATCTTATACCGGTTCACGATTTTCCTTGAACCACGGTTCGGTTCGGTTTAAATGATTCAATTTCTTTATGCTAAAGGATACAAATAATACACAAATATGACAAATCCATAACATAATTATTAAAGGCTTGGTGGGACGTGATATTTTATAAAGTTTTCTCTATTTTTCTTTTATTTATATTTGTGCAAAAATTATAGATATTCTGCAAAGTTTCATCTAAATTGATAACGTTTTAAAAGAATTTGTAGGAAAATATTTGATTTTGTTATTTTATGGCCTTTCAGAAATTATATTCAACAATTTTTATTGAGATTGAGGCCGTTTTTAATGAAAAACTAGTGTGGAAAAGCAACAATAATTTAGAAAAAAATGGCAGAAGTGATAGCTATTTCGAAAATCACCACATTTCATCGTCAAACTTCTTTCAGTGGGGTTCGATCCAACGACCCCAGCTGACTCAGTCAGTTGCCTTAGCCACACTGCTGAAAAAATTTGAGGGTACGGTACATAAACCATATAAATTCAGGGCCGTATTTAAAAAAGTCGTCCAATTTCGACAATTTTTATGCGATTGCAATAAATGAGCTATCAGTTTATTTACAATTAGATTTAATTTTAGATAGAATACATATTTGAAAATGGAAAATTAGCGATGGACAAAATTAAAAAAATTAAGAGGAATATAGGATTTTTTATTTTACCCGATAAAAACTCCAACAAGCCGAGTCCAAAAATAGATTATTATATACCATTTTAAAGGTCTATATATCCGCTTCCCAGATCATATTCTATCCTTGAAATCGAATCGAAAATAGCCATTCAAAAACTCATAATTCTACAAAATCGTGTTGACTGACGTAAATCGACAGGTCGCGACCTCTAAATGACCTTTTAAAAAATGTGCAAAAATAGGCAATAATATTTCTCATATAACCGAATAAAATTAGGTTGTGGGGTCTTGAAATTTCCAAAAAAGCATTTTCAGTGGGCACCCTAACGTACAAGTATACTTATGATCAAAATAAATTGACTATTTTTCTTTTGTTGGTTTAATCATGATACAAAAAAGAAGGTAAGGTAAAATAAACAACCTTTGACGGATAATACAATTTTTTGAAGTTTCATAAATTGTGAGTATTATCAACGGCCTTGCCACTTTGATAATATTAAAACAATAAATCGGAGTATTTTCCTTACCTTATTTATACCAATGTAATAATATTTCAAAACAAAAACCATTATCAATGCTTGGTATTTTTTTACTTACATAGCTCGCTTTATTTTTGGTAAAAATATTTTAAATATAGTGTAAGGTCATGGCAACTCTGGCATAGAATGCGAGTAGTCTTCGTTTTTTGACGCCAACGGGTCAAGATATATTAAAATCGTTTTACAATTAAACTTTGTGACATTAAACGCCGAATAAAATCATATCTTTGTGTGCTTTTTGTTAACACAAGCGGAAGAGTGTTTTTATTTATTTACGGCAATCCTATCAAAATTCAGAAGTAGATAAATTCACGTAGACGCAAATGAGACTCCGCTGGCAAAAATTGAGTACTCCGCTGGCGTTCTAGGAATTTCGCAAATATTCTTTACTTATATACATACATATAAGCACGAAAGGGATGAACGCATAATATCCCTAAACGAGTGTGTGTGTGTGTAACGATATGCGTAAACGACGAGTAGTAAAGCAATAACGACACTGAGCGTGTAATGAGAGCAAACGCAAACAAAGTGCAGTTGAAAAGCAAAAGAAAACAAAGAAAAAGCGACAGGTTGAATTCTTATTAGACCGCATTGTTGTGAAGTTAAAAAAAGAAAAAAAAAACTATCAAAATGCCGGTGGTAAAAATAAATACATTGAAGTTACCTGATTTAAAAGAAATTTTAAGCGATAAAAGGTTTTCTACGGAAGGTTTAAAAAATGAATTGGTTTTGCGATTAAGCGAAGCTGTTGGTTCGGACAGTATCGAAATAGCCAATGCAAATGTGCAAGAGCTGATTACTGAACTGCGCGACATGTTTAGTTCCGTTTTACAAATGTTGCAAGCGAATAATAACGTAGGTGATACGGATACGCGCGGGGAGCGAGAGCGGTTAAGTTCTCTAGCTACTAGTGCGACCACAATTTCTGGCCGTAGTAGCTACTCAGTGAAAGAAATCGCGGAAGCTATTCCGGAATTTGATCCAACAAACGAATCTTCAATATCAGTGGAACAGTTCGTAGAACGCGTAAATAGTGCAATTCAAGCATATCAATGGGAAGAGGAATGTCTTTTGTTGGCGGTGTATAGTCGACTCAAAGGTGCAGCAAAACATTGGTTGAATTCTACTGAGAAATTGTATGCAAGTTGGAGTGAACTATCAAAATGGTGAAGAGTTCAGTTGTGTGCCCGATGAAGCTGATATACATTTCAAAATGTCCCAAGCGGCGCGTAAAACAAACGAAAGTCTCCTTGACTATTGCTTTCGTATAGGGGCTTTAGGTAAAAGATTTGGTTTAAGTGAACCCGCCAGAATGAAATACGCAAGCGATGGTCTTAGGCAGCGGGAATTACAAATAGCTATAGCAGCAAATCGCTATAGTTCGATGCGTGAGTTCCGACAAACAATAATTGACTATTCTAAGAATTTACCAGTGCGTACGTTTAAACCAGAAAAACCAATCTCGAATGTTGAGGGAAACTCTAGTGAAACCCGTGACAGTGATAAGCAAATTATTTGCTATAACTGTCAACAAAAAGGGCACATTTCCTCAAAGTGCTCGCAACCACAGCGCAGGCGTAGATGTGTTGACTGTCAAAAAGTGCATCCTAAGGGCAAAGCTGAAAACTGTGTCAAGAATAGTGTGACAGCTCGTACGACTAAAGCGGTAGTTCCTGAAAATAACTATGAGAAAGTAGTCACAATAGACGGTAAAATTTTTACAGCCCTAATAGATATGGGTAGCGAATGTAGTATGATCAGCCAAACTGCGGCTGAAGAAAAGTGTGCTCTAAAAATAAGTGGGTTTTGCGGAGGTGTGATCTATGCCTACTCCAAAATGCGTGTTAACTTGAAAGTTGACAGTTGTGAGCGAGATGTGTATCTATACGTAGTTGATGACAAACTTTTGACGGTAGACTTGCTGTTGGGGCAAGATGTGTTCACAGACATGAAAATGACAATTTTAAATGGGAAAATTACTATTGCTAGTGCGTGCAATAAAATTGTTAGCGAAAATAATAAATAATCATTGCATCTTGATGAAATAAAGTGCGGTATTGACGAAACTGAAAATAAAAAGAAATTGCTCTAGTTGATGAATAAATATCGCGATGTGTTTGCAACAAATATAAGTGAAATTTGACATACCGAACTCGTAAATATGAAAATCGATCTGGATACTAATATTCCTATTGCTCAAAACCCGTTTCGTGTTCCTGAACCTAAAAGGGAATTAATCGCGAATATGTTAAAAGAACTACTCGATAACGACATTATTTGTAAATCCGATTCCCCATACGCTAGCCCTATGCTGTTGGTAAAAAAGAAAAATGGGAGCGAAAGATTGTGCGTAGATTTCCGGCGGTTAAATCAACATATGCGGAAAGAATTATTTCCGACGCCAAACATTGAAGAAGAACTACAACGGGCAAAAAGTCTTAAGTATTTCTCAGTGTTAGATCTTAACAGCGGCTACTACCAAGTTGCTATTGCGGAAGGTAGCCGAAAATTTACAGCCTTCATTACGACAGAAGGTCTGTACGAATTTAAACGCATGCCGTTCGGGCTTAAAAACGCCCCGGCCATTTTTCAACGTCTGATCGCTAAAATTAAAGACAATGTGAAAGCTAATGACATGATTAATTATATGAACGATATATTAATCGGCAGTTTGACTATAAGCGAAATGTACGAAAAGTTAGAACGTGTTTTTAACGCATTACAAAATGTTAACGTTACTCTCAATTTACAAAAGTGTGAGTTTTTGAAAACAACGATACAGTTTTTGGGTCACGAGCTAACACCCGATGGTATTTCTCCTGGATTAGCTAAAACAAAAGCAATACGCGAATTTAAAACGCCAGAGAGCGTTACCGAAATTAGGCAGTTCCTCGGCTTGAGCGGTTATTTTCGCAAATTTGTACCGGGGTATGCCATCATCGCTGCTCCGTTGAATCAATTGTTGCGGAAAAATGAAATAGTTAAGTGGACAAATGAAAAAGCAAAGGCTTTTGAAAAGATAAAGACTGTTTTAGTTTCTCGCCCGGTAATTGCTGACTATAACGTCAAGGCAGATCATCAAGATCACACAGACGCGAGTGCGATCGGTTTAGCAGGCGCGTTAATGCAAAACGAAGGTGGTGATTAGAAATCGGTTGTTTATTATAGTCGCGCAACTACGGACAATGAGAAAAAGTACCATAGTTACGAGCTAGAAGCTCTCACAGTGGTCGAATCAATAGAACGATTTAAATATTATATTTACGGCAAACGGGTAAAGGTTATCACAGACTGTAACGCATTAAAAACAGTTATGAATAAACGTGAACTTGTTCCGCGTATCGGTAGGTGGTGGCTTCGTATCCAAGTATATCATATCGAGGTCGAACACCGTGCTGGCAAACGTATGGCCCACGTCAACGCACTAAGTCGTGCGCCAGTTGAGGAGGCGCGTGAGTTAGAAACGGCACCTCTTCGAGTTGACAAGGTCCTAGTTAGCAACGACGATTGGTTATTTGGAATGCAACTCCAAGATAATTCAATCAAAGCACTAGTCAGCAAACTACAGCAAGGAGATACTGCGGTAAGCAAAGATTTCGTTATAAGTTATGGCCGGGTATATAAGATAGTAAATGGTAAACACCTCTCGGTGGTTCCGAATGCACTACGATGTCAAATCGTTAAGAGCGCGCACGCTGGACATCTTGGGTTGGAGAAAACAAATGCACGAATAAGTGAGCATATGTGGTTTGCTCGCATGCGTAACTTTATCAAATCCTATTTAAAATCCTGCATTGATTGTACATACAATAAGGTACCAGGTGGTAAAAAGGAAGGTGAGTTCCATGTTGGAGAGATAGAACCTATACCATTCCGAACTGCCCATGTAGACCACTTAGGTTCATTCCCGAAAAGTTCAAAGCGCAATGAACACATTCTCGTGATCATCGACGCTTTCACACGTTTTGCGATTGTACGAGAAGTCAAGAGTACAGCAACCAAACACGTCACCGAGGTCTTCAACGAATTAAGCAGTTATGTGGGAATGCCAGAGAAAATCATCTCAGATCGTGGAACAGCATTCACATCGAAAGAATTTGAGCGTTATTGTAAAGAAAACGATATCCGACAGATTAGCAATGCTGTTCGAACACCAAGGGCAAACGGCTTGGTTGAGCGATGCAACAAAACCATACTCTCGATGTTACTGCCTTCAGTCAAAAACGATAAGCCGTGGGACGATGCATTGCGAACAATTCAATGGTCGATCAACAGCATGCGTAATAAAACGACTTCACGAACACCACAAGAGCTATTATTCAGCTTTAAGACGAGACATTTTGTAAAATAAGATAGTACTTGCTCTTCAGTACGAAAACTCAATGAATGACAATTTGGTTAGCGACCGTGAAGAGGCGGTTGTGCGAATACAAAAGGAGCGACTCAAGTCCAAACAACGCTTCGACAAAAAGCATACGACTCCGAAATCATACCACGTTGACGATTTAGTGGTTGTTGAATACCAACCACCTAGCACTGGCACTTCACGCAAGCTTGAACCGCGGAGCAAAGGTCCATTTCAAATAACACGAATTTTAGGCAATGATCGGTATGTCGTACAAGATATACCTGGGTCCCAAAGGACTCAACGACACTACTCATCAGTCTACTCTAGCGACAAAATAAAGCCATGGTTCGCTCTTCCTCAGGTTTTCGATAGTAATGAGGAAAACAGCGACGATGAAGGCGTTAAAACCCACTGATCACGGATCGAGGCCGATCCGCAGCTGCAGGTATGGCCGAGTTGTAAGGTCATGGCAACTCTGGCATAGAATGCGAGTAGTCTTCGTTTTTTTACCCGACACGCGAACAGACGCCAACGAGTCAAGATATATTAAAATCGTTTTACAACTAAACTTTGTGACATTAAACTCCGAATAAAATCATATCTTTGTGTGCTTCTTGTTAACACAAGCGGAAGAGTGTTTTTATTTATTTACGGCTGTCCTGTAAATAGACTATTAAAGAAGAGTTCGTCGTAATTGTTCTTTTTATTATGTGTCCAGACAGCTATAAAAGCTTTGCTTTGCAAAGTTCCTATAAAGTCTAGACATCAACCTCGTTGGTTCGAGAGGTAGATGCCGCCCTATGCACTACGTATGTAGGCATCAAAATGTAACAGAGTGACATCTCGTTTTTGTTTTCCTTTTTGCTTGTCATTCGTTCTTTGAATTGAAACGTTTAATTTTGACAATAAATTCAATCGTGTTTAGTCTGCTGAAGCGAGATGTAGTTTTGTTTGAACAGAAATGACAAATACGCTACATAATTGGTGACCCGAACGTTTTTTGAAGATAGACGCAGCCAAATTTATATTGAATTGAACGGAATTCTGAGAATTTGAATTACCCAAAGGATTTCAAAAGTGTTTGCTATTTGATAACTTTTTAGCTGAATAATGTCATTATTACTTTTTCCGCAGTTGATTATTGATATGCCAACTCAAGAGCAGGAATGCGAACAGCAAGCCGCGCTGGATACTGGTCGGCCTAGCCTGATTGAATGAAATACAACAAAATCCGCAGATTGATCGTATTGAACGTCTTGAACTACCGCCTTTTTGGAACCAGAAAGTGCACGTCGATTGAGGCTCAATTTCAAAATAAGAAAATTACAGCCGACGCTACCAAATACTATGCAGTGATAGCACGGTTTGACCAAGAGACTTTGTCGGTCATTGAACACATTGTAGCTAAGCCTCCAGCCGAGAACAAATATCAAAGTGTTAAAGATGCCCTACTAACATATTTTTCAGTATCACAAGAGCGACGTTTTAGAACTTTAGTTTCTGGATTAAAGTTAGGTAACCGACGGCCATCAGAATTATTGGCCGAGATGCATCGCCTCGGAGGTAACATGCTTGATACAGTATTCAGGCGTACATTATGGCTTCATCGCCTGCCACATTATGTACAGGTCGCATTGGCTAGTGCCGAAGGACTCGATAACGATAGTTTAGCAAAATTGTCTGACAAAATTATTGAGATCAAACATGTTCCAGAATCGACTGTTGCACATTTAATGCCCATTAAACGCGAAAATCAACACGACGAGCGCATTGATAAACTCAGCAACTGGAATTACTAGCGTCCAAAGTTGATAAATTACTATCTGTACGTTCAAA